TATATATATATATATATATATATATATATATATATATATATATACACACACACATATACATATATTCTGTGGTTTATTTTTGTATTCTTTCCTTCGAAGTAGAAAGTACATTACAGCTCCCCCGAGAAGTAAAATTACTGTAGCTCTTAGTGCAACATGCTGAAAGCAATAAAAATAAGGATCCTCATCTCTAGTGGTGCATTAACACAGCACGTGGTGAAGGCAGGTAGTTCACAGCATTCATTAATACTTCAGGAGTTTAATTTATATCTATGTTTGTAATAATTGATTGTCGTAGGTATTTCATTGAATATTTCTTTACATGCTGGTCCTACTTGTGCATTATACGTAAGCTGAAATGGTGCATAATTAAAGTTTCCTTTAGCACTAAACTGTAATGCTGTGGGAAAAAAACAGTAAGGGATGGAGAGGGAGGTTGATAACTGACCTTTGGATATACACTGCTCAAAAAATAAAAGAAACATGTAAACAACACAATATTCAAACTATCCACTTAGGAAGTAATTTCACATGCTGTTGTACAAATGGAATAAACAATAGCTGGAAATTATTGGAAATTAGCAAGACGCACACAGTAAAGGAGAGGTTCTGTGGGTGAGGACCACAGACCACTTCTCCGTAACTACGCTTTCAGGCTGATGTTTTGGTCAATTTTGAATGTTGGTGGTTCTTTTACACTCGTAGTAGCATGAGACATACTCTAAGTGTCTCAGGTAGTGCAGCACATCCAGGATGGCACATCAATGTGAGCTGTGGCAAGAAGGCTTGCTGTATCCATCAGCATAGTGTCCACAGGCTGAAGGTGTTACCAGGAGAACGGCCAGTACAGCAGGAGACGTGGAGGGCAACAACCCAACAACAGGATAGCTACCATTGGCTTTATGCAAGGCGGACCAGGAGGAGCACTGCCAAAAGACTGCAAAATGACCCCCAGCAGGCCACAAATGTGCATGTGTCTGCATAAACGGTTAGAAACCGACTCCATGAGGATGGTATGAGGGCCAGACGTCCACAGATGAAGGTGATGCTCACAGCCCAATACCAAACACAACATTTGACATTTGCCGGAGAACATTAGGATTGGTAAATTCACCACTGGTGCCCTGTGCTCTTCACAGATGAAAGCAGGTTCACACTGAGCCCATGTGACAGAATTTGGAGACACCTTGGAGAACGTTCTGCTGCCTGCAACATCCTTCAGCATTACCGATTTGGTAGTGGGTCGGTAATAGTGTGGGGTGGCATTTCTTTGCTGGCACAGCTCTCTATGTGCTCGCCACAGATAGCATGAATGTCCCTAGGGACTGAGATGAGATCCTCAGACCCCCCTGTGAGACCATATGCCAGTGCGGTTGACCCTGAGTTGCAGGACAATGGTAGACCTAATGTGGATTGAGAGTGTAAGCAGTTCTTGCAAGATGAAGGAAATGAACCTCTGGATTTTCCTCCCTGTTGCGCAGACCTGAATCCGATTGAGCACATCTGGGACATTAGGTCTTGATCCATCCAACCAACGTCATGTTGTACAATAGACTGACCAGGTGATGATGGATACTTTAGTCTAGGTTTGGTGAGGAGATCCCTCCGGAGACCAACCATACCCTCATCAGGAGCATGTCCAGGTGTTGTAGGGAGGTCATACAGGCATGTGCAGGCCACACACAACACTGAGCCTCATTTAGACCTATTTTAACGACTTTACATCAAAGTTGGATCAGCCTGTATTTGGTTTTTCCATTTTAATTTTTTGTGCAACTCCAAATCAAGGCCTCCATTGGTTAATACATTTGATTTCTAGGGATGATTTACATGTGATTTTGTTGTCAGCACATAAACTTTGTACAGAACAAAGTACTGGATGGGAATCCTGTTTCTATGACTGTGACTGACTCTCTGACCCTCTTCATCCTCTAACTTCGTAACTGGCTCGGAGCTCGTCTGCCTGGCTGTGTGTTTCCTGGATGGAGCCGCCTTTTACAGCTGCTTTTTGTATCTCTGCTTCCGTTTCCTTGAGGCCCCTCATAGTGAACCTGGTTTTGATGGAGGTTTCTTCCTGTTCAAAGGGAGTTTTTCCTCTCCACTGTTACTACAAGCATGCTTAGTGTGAGGGATTGCTGAAGAGTCAATGAGTCGATGCA